ACCTCTAGCCAACAGATCTGTGCCACAGTAATACCGTCAACACAAATGTATTGGCTCATTCTTCTTGCAACTCTTTCACACCCCTCTGCTGTGTTACTCAACCTGAAGAAACATGATCAGACAGAACCGGGACCTTTACTCCCGTAACGACCAGACCAAGCCAGGCTGCCTCTGTAGTGGTAAGGCAATTAAGGAAAGGTAAGTCATACCTCACTCTGAACCCTGGCACTGTGCAAATCTTAATCCCTCCACCCTTGGGAGCAAAAGGTAAAAAACCTTAGCTGCTGCTAAGGAGCCCTGCAAGCCCATACCTGACACTCACCTACACTGAGGTGTATCTCTGAGGACAGCATCCGAGAGGAATACGTTGCCCGCCAGCACACAGCTCCATGGATCAGCCCCTACAAGAGAGGGGAAGGGAGAAAACCGTACAGCAGCCATGAGCTTTCTACAGCCGAGGCTCCCTGATGTGGAGCAGGGACGCAGATCTGCAGGGCTGTTTTGGTTTTCTAAAATGCACAGCTATGACAGTACCAGCCCATACAGAAAGCTTTTCTTCTCTTGCTATTGTTTCCACCTCTTTGGACTGTTTCCACAGCTCCTAAATTAAAAGCCTGGAACAAAATTGCCTCTAATCCCTTCAAAGAAGGATGGAAGGGGAATGAACTAGGCTGCATCAAATCTAAATAAAAACAACTTAACTTCAGCTACCGTGCATAAATCTCCACCCGCAACTGTGACCATACCTTTCATTTTAGGGACATGGTTTAGTGGTGGACTTGGCAGTCTTAGGTTTACGGTTGGACTCGATGATCTTAAAGGTCTTTTCCAACCTAAATGATTCCATGATTCTCCCCAATTCCCCACCTGGCTGCTACCTCCTGTCATCTTGTGATTTTTTCAAGCTAACCCCCTTCTCTTGAAGGATATCCTCCCCAGTTCACCATAAACACACCCTTTCTACTCACCTGACTTCAGCCTCATTTCTTTAATAATCACTGTTCTACTGTATGTATGCCCAAGAGAAACAGAGAGCATGGGGCAGCTTTTCTGACATAGAGATAAGAAACTACGGAGAAACACACCGAACTCCCCCCAGGCTGTCCAATCTTTGCTTCCCGTAATATTCCGTGCAGAATTTCCCCTACCAAGTTTTGCACCAAGTTGTTTGGATATTACATTGATGAATACGTTTACTTGGTCTTCCAAGTTCAGTTCAAGAGGCTTTAAAAGACACTCTGACCTGTTCTTCCACAGGTGACTGGGACAGAGGGGGATCAGCAGACGCTGCAGGCTGCATCTCCAATTCTGATGACTGAAATCCAAATTCTCCTGGGGAGACAGAGACTTAATCCTAGGCTTGACAGTTTATATTGTAAATATGCTGAAAAACTTCTCAATCTCTTCCCCTCCCCACACCTAAAGTCTTGAACGCTCCGATTTACACATTGCATTTTTTTCCCATGAAAACCGAGTCCAGAATCAAGCTTTCAGGATTACGTGCCTGAATGCCTGCGTTAAATAGCAGTGACTTGTCACACTCCGTTTTCCACGAGCAGCAGGGTACACAGCACCTCTGAAGAGAGCCACTTATTAAAGCTCCAAGATCTGTTTATAACTCAAGGAGCCTAAAACCACAGAGACCAATAAGAACTCCACTCTTAACTTCAGTGGAGCCCAATCAAGCCAGAAAGACAGAAGGGAACATAAGCCAAAATCCTACAGTTTGCCATGCTCCCCGTTGAACACACTGTGGTTCCAGCAAATATCTACATAGGAAGCAGCAGTGAGCCCATCCCTTCGCTCCAGAAGGTACAAGATGGAAACAACAGCAGTTATGCAAAAGAATCAAATCTGGTCAGAGTTAAAAATACATCCATTAGTCCGTAGGGTGCTTGCAACTCTCAGAAGAATCACATAAATGTTTTATAATTTAAGTTGGATATTCTGTGGCTAGATTTTTTTTTAAACTGTTTTCAACTATGTCCTTTGTTTCTAGAAGCAACTAGAAATTTGCACTGGAACTAAATCCACATCAGGAAGCCATTCCAGCTCTTGTGATCATCTGAGCAAAGGAAGACTTTACCTTCTTTTTTTCCTAGCAGCACTCCCATGTTAAAAGAAATCGTTTCATGTATTTTAAAAGACTACTACTTCAGCGTTGGGTCTATTTTTACACAACAAAATCAGTAACAGCTTTCTTAGTGTGAAACCACAAGCATACCAGATGAGGGTAGAAGAGAAATAACTTGACTAATAATATTATATAAGGAACACAAATGGGTTTATGGTCAACATGGGAGCTTTTCAGTCTGTTTTACAGCCATCACCTTAACAAATTCCCAAATCAAAATTTTAAGCAGAGCTCAGTGACTGAGTCGCAAGTCTGTATTTTAATAAGCACAAGTTTGATCCCTGGAGTATGCTCAGCTGATAAAGGTTCGGCTTCTGCTCTGATGACTGCAATATTAAGAGCTGGACCTTGCACCACAGCCCTTGCTGATTGTTTAAAGCAAATCTGCCATGTGACACAGATAAAACAACTATGAAACATATACGGTGTTATCAATTTATTTTCTGTCCCTCTACCACCCTGTTTGGTGCAGGTATCGAACTGTGGAAGTTCACACGTTGCCACCATGATTCCTACCCCAAACCCTGGAAATGGCCAAGGAGCACACCCCAAATGTGCCGCAGACCCAGAAACAAGGAGGAACTAATCCCACTGTTTTCATTTTTATTTTTATTCCTGGTTAAACATGAAAATGCCCAATGGATATCCAAAACTAACACAACAGGATGGTTGTATAGAATATCACAAACAAGACAGCAGGGCCTAAAACATTCTTCTGCTGGAGAATATAGTTACTACTCAAGTGCACAGTGCCAAAATATCCCACTTTAAGGGCCAAGGAAAGCCCAGACAGACAGCTCTCCAGCATAAAAGATAACAACAACCTACTCTTCCTGGTCACCTGATCTCTAGGAAAGCAGACAGAACAAATGAATCATTTTGTAGTTTTATTATCCCCACCCCCACTTCTCACAAACAGACTATGACTCGCATTGAGATCTCAGTGCATTTCACAGCAAAAAAATGTACAAGAAGATCAAAATAGTTGTGCATAAACCCAACTCTTTTTTTGCACAATTTACAGTTTGTGTTGAAAGTTAACATGGTTATTTAAACCTTCTGATGCACTCTTACACTTGTATCTTCTCCATGGAAAACATCTTACCAGATCACACAGTTGTGAGTTCTCATGATGCTGGATCAGGTGCAGCCATTGCCATGGCTGGGAAGTGGCAGATAATGTTATATACACTGATTGGAAGACTACATCAGAAGAACAAACAGATTAAGGCACCACTGTTGGAAAAATTAAGGTAGCTTGTAGTTGCAACAATAATGAAAGCCATAATAAGTACTATTCTTAATTGCCAGCAATTCTTAGACTTCAATAAAATAGTTATAAAAAAAACAAAAAACAAAGGATGTTTGTACCTGAATACAGTTTCCTGATATCTGATTGTGTTTCAAATCAATACCCAGTCCTCAGCATAGTCAGCTTTTCTTTTTTTTTTTTATGGTAAGATGAAAAACCAGGACTACAGTCCATGTATTCACAGGTCACATTTCACCACTTTGTTCTGAACAACACCACAGGAGAAAAACCAAAACAATCCAAAGGACAGTTTGTAACACTGATACTTCACCTCTGAGATGATTAGATGGGCAGAGAAATTTAAATACAAAATTGTACGTTTTCTGTTCATTTTGAAAGCCTTAGTCCTCGGGAAGGGAAGGTGGAGGAGGAAAAAAAAGGCCAAACCTCATTACATTATAACATGAGAAAAATCCAAGTCACTCAAAGAGATTTAATAAAATTAGGAGTTGAAAAGTGTTTAAATTACTTTTCCAATTCAAGTCAATTATTTCAAGTATATTAAAACGTTTCAGAGGAAAAATTTCTCCATGGTTACAATTCTAATTGCTTTTATAAATCCATAAAAAAGAAAGGTAGTCTCTACATATATCCCATATTCCTCCGATGCATGCACGTGTTCTCTCTGAAGAAAAAAAGTCATCACGATCCAGTTGTTTCTTAACACTGATTTCAGGCACATCTTCCAAACACCCCTCCAGTTTTCGCCAAAAAAAGGTTAATCACTGGGCATAAAAGCAGCAGTTTTTTCTTGCTGTTGTCTACAGGGGTACTGAGCAGGTTTCAGTTATTAAAGAGTTTGACGCAGATTCTGAAAAAAGTTCCCATGTCACTCCAAAATCCAACAGTTCCTTCTTCTCTTAGGCAGCTTTTGCAATCAGATCTACATAGAAGAATCTTACACAATTCAGATAAAATCTCTGATACAAAAACAAGTTGGTTGAATGTACCTGGCA